ATTTTTGTGATTTACATGATCATAAGACTTATTATGGATTTACACTATCTAGTACCAATTTGTGTTTCTTTGTTAAAGTTGTATAAATGCCATGTGACCTTCTGGTCATGCTAATATAATACAGATAACAGGTATTTGATTTCAACTAATTTAGAAGACAGTTAATCATAATATAAAAAGAATTATAAATTTTTACTAACACTGGAATTTGAACTCTAGATCTGCCACTTTAAAGTTAACAACCTGTTCACTTTACTAGATTGCCATACCCCAAAAATAGAATATCTTATACTGTCTAGTATTGTATATATATATAACCAAATTTATTATTTTATTAATAACTTTAAAAAAAAATAACATTATCAAAATTTGTTATATTAAAAAACAAATTTTATAGTCTTGTTTTACTTATTTTGTTATATATTTTTATAAAAAAACTTTTTTCTTTTTATAAAATTTTAATTTTATATAATGGTTTAAGAATTTCTGTACTGTATAAAATATAAATTTATTATTATTTATTAATTACATTTAAATTAATATTTTTTTGTTTCAGATATTTGATTACCTTAATATTAATTTTTTTTAAAACTTCAAATTTAAATTTAATACAATAGAAAAGGTGTTTTTTTGCTTTTTGTTTTGAAAAATTATTAGACTTTTTGATGAAATATATTTTAAATATTCGAATTTGAATGTAATTCGATTCAAAATTTGAAGCAATAACCAAATAAGTTCTCAGCCAAATAATTTGAATAAATAAAAAAAAAAGTAAATATTTTTTTCACTAATCTTATAATTTCGTCTTATGCTCATATAAGTTGATTTTTAGAAATTTGCATTTCTTTAATCTTAAATAATTTTTGATTTACCAATCTATTTTGAATCGAAAAACTACCAAAATGTTTGTTTTATTGAGATGAACATTTAGGTAGTTGTTTCATTTAAAATGAACTGGTAAATCAAAAATCAGTCAAGATTAAAAAAAATATTAAATTCTAATCTATATGTAATGCTCAGATCGAACTTTAAGTAGTGCTTACGTATCTGATTTTGGTGGCGATACTCAATGGGTTAATAATGACTTGTAAATTATGATATTAATTGTTGCATGACCAATAGCTTATAAATATTACATTTTTGAGTAATATTTTACTAATTTTTTTTATTTGGTCTTGCTTTAAGCTCAGCATATGAACGCATTTTGTTAATTTTGGTGATTATTGATCCAATCATTTATGTAATGTTGAGAAATTGCTGATATTAAATATTAAAAATATAATAAAATTGAATTGTATGAATTGTATTGTCTTCTGAGTAGGGCGGTTAGTACAAGATAGATGGCATCACCATGGTCATGGCATGCTGTACCTCTAGCTCCAATCAGATTATCTGTAGATATACATATATATATTATCCGGAAATTTTGGAATGGCAGATAGTTAGTCAACATAAAATATGAGCAAGGTCACTGGAAAATTTAGAAAATTGGTTGGTTAGTTCGAAATTTACCCGAGTGATATTTTACTCAAGTTTGGATTAGGACATTATACGAATAGTGCACCATATGGCACGCCATACACCAAAAAACATTAATGGCACGCCATTGGCATCCCATTAAAATATTTGCGCCAACCACCCTACTTCTGAGTTATGAATTGCTTATGAAACCGTCATGAAATCGTCTATGAAAACATGATTAAATTAATAATTTTATTTGTATTTAATTGGTTAATTATATACTTGCTTATTAATATTATATTTTATATATGTAGTGACGCTGCACAATATATTTTTATTATTCGGAATTGTATCACTTAATTTTTAATGATCATGATATTCCCCATCAAAAATTTTCGCCCATACGGATTTACATTTTTTATTCGGCTTTGCTTCGATCGGCTGGCTTAGGACTCCATATTTTGTTAGAAACAATGTTTATTGATACGTATCATATTGCAGATTCAAGATCCACATTCACGTGGATATAATTTTAAATTCAAATCAAGTCATATCGATATATTTGCTTAATTAAAAATTATCTTGTGATTCAATCAAAATTATTAAACCATTAAGATATGGCTAGCCTTATCCTGGACCGGTCTATTTTAAGGACGCCCTTAAGATATTCTGTATAATTTTATGTATCACATGATTATTTACATAAATATACTCATATAATTCACTGATACGATATCGGTAAAGACTTTGTGTTTAAATATACCGAGTGTTTGAAGGGCGATCCTCGAACTTTACAATGGAACTGGGTTGGCATTAAACAATGTAAAATCCGAGTTCCTTTCAACCATCGGAGTTAAACTCGGCGAATCTATCCCATTCGATGGTGACAAAATATTGTATAAGCGCGAAATAACAAGTAAATATTAGCAAACTCAGCCTTTATTAGTTGGCTCTGGGCAGTCTTGACTGGAATTTTGGTGAACATCCTGTATGAGTTACATGGTTTATCATGTAAAATGTCGGTCAAGCGACATGATCTAATACAGCCAACAAACGAATCCTTCAGCTCGCGAATATCACTGATTATCATTTCATCAAGCCAAATCAGAAGAAAATAAATAATATTATGCTTAAGAATATAATTAAGTATAGCTTGGAGTATTCATAAAAACAGTAAAAGGGTACATTTTTAGTACACACTAATATCGCATTTTATTTACAATTCACAAAAAAAAAAAAACTTTTCTATTTTTCTTTATTTTTCTTTTTTTTTACAATATATATATAACACTTAAAATTTTCAAACCAGAATAGAACTTTTTAACCCCAACTTATTCTCAAAATAGGTTAATTCTGAATCACCCAAACAAATATTATTAATAAATCGCTGTATCGTTCTTAATTCAAACTTCTTATATTCGATATTTATATTTTCACAGAATACTCGATTAATCGTGTCAGTTCAATTTATTGAAATTTTGCAATTGGCTTGATCTTCAATATTTCCTGAATAAATTTTGATTAATAGAAGCATCAGATCATGCATAAATCACTGACAGCTACAGTCAACCCTCCGTAAAAGTACCCCTTAGGACTATGAGCAAAATTTGCATTTAGGGAGAGTGTGCATTTATGGAGGGCATCTTGCTAAGTGCTCTACATGCTTGGGGTTGAATATTTGTGTGCATTCATGGAAGGTTTACAGTATCATGAAATTTGGAATTACAAAAGTATCCCTAAAAATGAAGGCAATTTCTGATTACGTATTATCGAAATTACCTGCAGTAATAATTCCAATATATAAATGTAATATTAAACATATTATATATACTATAACTTGTTAAAAACAATTACGGCAGGTAACTCTAGTGGTCTTGATTTGAAAACACGTGCCTCGCTAAAATCTACTTATGCTTTTTTATTAATCACTCTATCCTAATCCTAATCTAATCTAAAAAAAGCGCTCTAAAAATAGGCCCAAGTTTCAGCACCATCCGGGAGATTTACTGTATTTTACCATTTTGATTATTTATTTATTTATTTCAAATTGCTTTTTTTATATGACGATGGAAGCACACCCGATATTAAAGGTATATATTTTTAATAAATTACATTTGCAGAGTTGACAAATTGGACATATAGAAATTGCGTGAATCAGATGGACATAGAAATTGCGTGAATCAGAAGGACATAGAAATTGCGTGAATCAGATAGACATTTGGATATGAGTGCCACAATAAGTCTAAAAATAGAATTTTTAGACAATGAAATACGACTTTAAATGATACTAATACGTGATCGAAAAAAAACAGTACAGTTGATTATTCTAATCAGATCGGTTACAAACCCGCGTTTCCGTTATATAAAGAATTCTATTTTTAGACTTCATGATTTTCATTTGGCGGCATCCATATATAAAGCCATATGTCATTAGCATCCATGGTCACTTGGGATGGTGTCGGCTAAATAACGATAAATTGTCGTCACATAATAAAAAATAATTAGTAAAACGTCACATGTAACTATAAGTGACGATTTAGTATCACACCTAGTGTTCATATGAAGAACCTTGCTAATTAGATTTGAATCGCACACCGTGTCCAACATGCCAATTAATTAGCATAGACTTAAATTATCTTGACTTTTATTATGCAAATCAATTTTACTTACATACTGAAGGATAATAACCTAAATTCCGTTTTCATTGCAAACCCATTCTGAAACGGATTTACTTACGTATTGTGTAATTCATTAGATCATGATTGGCAGGATCTGAATTAACCGATTTTGTCTAAAATTATTCAACGTTAAGTAAAAATGACAGCAATATGATTTTGCTGCCCCTAGCTCTTCGCAAAAAAGCCTTACGTATAAATATTTTTTTTATATTTTAAGTCTATAATCGATAAGTTTGTAATAATATAATAATTAAAATTTTATTAATAATTCGGATTTTACTATGGTGATAGCAAAAAATTCCCAATATTTATTATAGAAAAATCCTAAAGTGCATGACTTTGTCAGGCAATATAACTATAATGAATTTATTATTACGTAATGGTAACTCGTACAAGTTGAAAAATTACTTGCTGTATTTGGAAGATAAAGCATAAAGATTCCTATACCATGAATTTCCTCGCAGAGTAAGTTAAATTTGATCTTTTCTTAAATAGTCCCTGTGCTATAAACATTCTTCATTTATCACGAATTACCTTCTTTAATAACGTACGTATCGGTACGTATATGCATGTTGTTAATAGCATAAATGCAGTTACGTACGTCAATTAAGGAAGAATAAGTGTATGTAATTTATGTAATTTAAAGATGCGCCATTTAAAGAACATAACTGAAAATGAAGGACAGAATGCATTTTGAATTTATATTTAAATGGAGAAAAAAATTTGCTTTATTCAGAAATTAGAGTCAATATTATAGAAAATGCACCAAGGAGTTTTACATTGAATCCGAAAAAGCCTTTATAAAAAATAGCATTTATTAATATAACATTATCATATCGATATAATTACTTAGCTTAGAACATGAAATGCTTTATTTCTCTAGGAGTTCTCTCGATTCTACCTTTATTTATTCAAATATTGTTTTTAACGGCTAATGTTTTCTGTATTCCTTCACCACGTCGAGATTCCTCGTGTAAGTATATACGTACGGTTCAATCTTGACATATATAATATATATTAATCATATACATTAATTTGTATGCGCAGCATCATCGAAATATAACATAGTTTCGAGTAATTTATGCGATGATAGTGTGAAGCAGGTTTGCGTTCTCTATAACTTAAATAATTTTTTTAATATTCCTAGCTTAACGTTTTTTTTTAATGTAGTATTCTGGTTACATTCAAGTTAGTCCGAGTACTCATACCTTCTTCTGGTTTTTTGAAGCGCGTCACAATCCCGAGACTGCTCCTTTAACGTTGTGGTTAACGGGCGGTCCTGGTTGTTCATCCTTGAATGGATTATTTGTAGAAATTGGTCCATGTAAAACTCAAAATAATGGAACCTCAACCATCACAAATCCTAATAGCTGGACTGAAGTATCAAATGTTATCTTTCTTGATCAGGTATTATTGTATATCGAATTATATATATATTTGATTATGTTTTACTTATTTTTCTTTTTTTTAAAAAAAAAATTAATGTTGTTTAAGCCAATTGGTGTAGGTTTCTCTTACTCTGATGATGTGTATAATGTTACTTCGTCTGAACAGGCCGCTGCGGATATGTATACATTTTTACAACTTTTCTTTCAAAGATTTCCAGAATATTCAAAGTTAGATTTTCATATATTTGGTGAATCATATGGTGGCCGTTTTGGTAGTTATTAAAAATTTCGTCAGTTTTTATGTTTTAAATAAATTTTCTACTTTACAATATCTAATGGTATATATTATAGTAACATCCTTGGCAAAATATATAATCAATAATAATAATAAACACGAAACTATGATAAAGCTTAAATCAGTTGGATTGGGTAATTCATTAATTAGTTTCCTTATTCAATGGTAAGCTTACAGTTACATAACGCTTTAAATTTATTCTTCTTGAACCAAATTAATACATTATTTTGTTATTTATAAAAGGAAATCTCTTACAGACTTTGAAGCAAATAATTCATGTAAGTTGTAATGTTTTATTATATTTTCATTATTTTTATTGAATACGTTGCAAATTATCAATTTATATTTACATTCTACGATTTCAAATACTCTCTTAACAGATGTGTCTGTAAATGATACAATCGTTGATCAAATGAATAAGGCATGGCCAGCATGCGAAGAAGCAAGTAAGTAAATAAGCATGCTACTTTATAAAACTATTTTTCGCAATTTATTTAAAGTTTTCTCTTTTACCTTAGCCATAAACTGTAATGAAAAAAAAACAACCAATTATTGTCTTCATGCTGTAGATGTTTGTGCTGGATCAAATACTTCTTATGCCTCGTACTTTCTAAATTCTGGATTAAGCGAATATGATATTAGAGCTCCGGCTGAATCGATGATAAGTACACTTTCACCAGACTATGTAAATTATATCACTAAACCCGATATTTTACAAGAAATTGGTGCAAATAGTAAAATACAATATTTAGTGTGTTCATCACGAGTTGGTCTGAATCTTTATCCTGAAATGTTCGTATGGTTTTTTTTTTTTTTAGGAATCAAATTCAAAGTTTAAAAAAAAATAATTAAAATAAAATTAATTAAAAATAATTTTTTATTTTTTTTAAAGGCCTCTTGATTTTAGTTCTGAGCTCGAATTTCTGCTCGAGAATGGTATCAGAACTTTAATCTATCATGGTGATGCCGACTGGATTTGTAACTGGTTGGTAATCATGCAAATTCATTCATATTTTTAGTTCTTTTTTTGAAATTTATATATGCGCATAGATAACTTATCTAATAATTTACATAAATAAAGGAAAGGAGGTTTGGAAACGGCCCTTAATCTTAATTGGAAATATAAATCTGAATTTTCATCAGCAGATATGAAAGAATGGTTCGTCGATGGAACTAGCGTCGGTCAAGTCAAATGTGCTGATATTTTATCATTTGTTAAAATATATAATGCTGGTCATGAAGCTCCAAGTGATCAGCCAAGACCTGCATTAGATATGTTTACTAAATGGTTATCTAATATAAAACTTGAATAGCTTTTCATGTTAATTAAGATTCTTAATTTAATATCTATATCTTTCATATTAATCTTTCTTAAATGCTATTAATAATGTAGTATGTCATTAACAATTAGAATAATTTCAATTAAATCATGTTTATTAATGAAAAACTTGTGTCGGTCGGTCTTTTTTGGAGGGACTATGGATTCTAAGATAAAATCAAAAATAGATCTTTTTCGGAATCACGATGAATTAGAGCACATCAAAAGACATTAATTATAAGGGATACATCCCTACTTTAAAGTGACGCGTTACACGTGAGAAACTTGCATTTCATATGTACATTCGTGCACCTAAGCTTTATTATTAAATGCGTGTCACGTAATCTTTATTAGTATGGTGCCACAAGACTGTAAGAATTAACAATATTAAGTCATTGGTTACCATTACAAGTAAAGCTAAACTCGAGATACTCAAGAACAAGGTTAATTGTCTGACTAATTCGTCTTGCAAGATATAGTTTATTATTTTATTATTACATATATACATTATTATAAAAAGTGTTTGCTTAAAATGATTTACTACAATAATGTTGCTAAATAATTGATACATAATAAACAACGGATATCCAAAATCTGGATAGTGAGTTTTTTTCTTCTTTCAAATATATATATATTTTTTTTTCCTAGTCCGTTCCTTCATTTATTATTCTCTTGATAACGCAATGGAACCTAATAACTCTGAAAAAATCAAAGTTGAAATTAATCCCCAGATTAACCAAGAAATTTTTGATATCAAAGTTTTTAAAGATGGTTCAAAAATAGGTCAATCCATTTTTGACAACATAGATGATATTGAGACCAGCAGTGTTTTATCAGTTCAATCGGCAAAAGATAGATCATCTTTTTATTTGAGTGATGATGATACCAACCTTTCTGATATATATGATTTTGATTTGATTAATTTTAATGCTTTACAAGAAGATATAGAGGCATTTTTTGAACAATCTTGTTCTTCAATCTTTAGAATAGATCAAAAGATAAGCAACAATACTCCTTATCTTGTAATTATGAGGGATGGTTCTGAATATGTTGTACGTTTATCATCTCCTATCAATCAAATTCACAAATATTCTAAAGCTTATACATCAAAAAGATTACAAAGTGAAGCTTCTATTATCAATTACGTAGCTAAACATACTGATATTCCAGTTCCTGAGATATACTATTGGAATGATGATAATGAAAACGTTATTGGCACTGATTTTGTAATAATGAAGCATTTACGTGGTATTCCTCTATGTGATGAATGGCTGGATCTTACATTTGAAGAAAAGCAAGATGTCTTGCTTCAAATAATTGATATTTTGATGAAATTAAAAACTTTACGATTTCCAGAAATAGGAAGTTTGTATTCAAATGAATGTAAAGCTAATGATCAAATAGTTGTCGGTGAATGTATCTTTCATGTTTTTATGCTATCAGGAAGAGATGAAACAAACAATGCTAATTTTGGTCCATTTACAACTACTCGAGATTTCTTACATGCCGCTTTAGATAAAGAAATTAAATTCCTTGATGGTAAAGGTGGTGAATTTAAAGAATTATGGTGTCCCATTCAAAAACAATTGGCTGAATTGTTCTATAATCATTTTTCTGATAAATATCATGATAATACTTTTGTTTTATGTCCATCGGAATTAACTGCTAGTAAGATTTTACTTGATCGTGACTTTGATAATAAGGTTTTTATCTCTGGTTTCCTTGCTTGGGATTGTACCGGTTCATTACCAATGGAATGCCTTTTTCAAGATCCTACGTGGATTAGAAATAATAATTCTGATAGCTTGAAATATTCAGATGAAAGAAAAAGTGAAAATCTTCAACTTCAATATTTCTTTTGTCAAGAATTATATTCACGAGATCCAGATATCGAATTTATTTGTAGAGATGAAGTGAGAATTCTATTTTTTACAATTATTCTCCGACAATTTTTATATCCTTGGTCTATTTCTGAATTCATGCAAGAATTGCATGAAATAATTGAAGAAGAATTGGAAACTGAATGGACAAAATATGATGAAGAAGAAGGATATATTAGATGTAATGATATGTCAAAATATAATTTAAATGAAATAGAATGCGAAAGAATATCAAGTTTAGAAATTTTTGCTGAGAATGAAAGGGAATATGAAAATAATCGAGATGATAAACAATGTGAATAAACCAGTATATTTAAGGATATATAACTTTCAAATATAGTGGGTTGGTCCGTGCATCTTAACTATAGTTAATACAGCAATATCTAAATAAGAACTAAAATAAAAAATTTCTACGTAGTGGTTTGTTAGATTTATCCTTTACCCAGATATAACGTATGTACAAAAAAAAATACAAAATTTAGTTTATTTCTATTTCTATGTATATATAGTGCTTGGGTCTGTTATCCGTTTGGATACTGAATTTATTAGTAAAATTCATCGGGTATCGTGTTCCGCGATAAGAAAAAGCGTGAATAGGACTTAAAAAGGCATGTTTAACGATAACTTTTATACAAATGCGGATTATTCAAAACTATTTATTATCATAGATAATGATTAGAATTGCAGGATCAAATTAATGATTCGTAAAATATGATTTTTACATGTAAAGAAATTATTTCCATTTACTATATTCGTAATTCGTTTCTCCCATAATAAAATCCAAAATATTATTACCATTACTACAAATTAATTCTATAACCAATGAAACCTATTATATTAATAACACTATTGTATTATAATAATTTTTGTTCGCCATTTAAAAAAAGTTCATCCATTTCCTCTTCCATTACAGGTATTAGATTATCTTCCAGTAAGACTATCCATTCGTAGTTTACTGGTATCATTTTAAACCGAAGGTACAAAAGTACGAATTTTTTTTAAAAAGTTTTTTTTTTTTGTTCATTGAGCTCATTTCTTATGATAGCAAAAAAATTTAAATTTTTATATAACACCCAATTTCTTCAAATGAAAAGAGAATTACACAGGATGGTAATTAAAGGGTTAAATATTTCTTCTTATCAACAAGTGATACAGAAAATAATGTTAATCTGTCTCCAATTGCCTGAATACCATACAATTTAACTTTTTTTTGCGTAATCAATTGGGCAATCAAAATTCTTTGCTAAGATTCTACAAAGGCTGCAAACTGCCATCATTAGCAATTTTTGATTTGTGTTTTTTATCTGCTTTAAAAGGTGGTCTGGAAACTTCAACATGTAAGATTTCAGTTGCATCAGACAGTCTTATAACTAGAAGATCAGTCTTCTGTGACTTGATATTAATTGTAAACATGGTTTTCGTTTCTTTTACCGATCTAACATCCTTTTTGATCCATTCATATTTAATTTCAGGAAATGCATTTCTGAAAGATTGAAAAATAGGTGAAATATATTCAACTATATATGTCCTTTCAGACATATTCCAATTTATTTATCTTTAGTGACAGATTTTTAAACATTGTGATGAAATCGAGAAGGGTGAAAAAAAGGAATTGTGATTTCTCAGTTTTTTTATATTCTTTTCATTTTCTGTCTGTTATTATTTTCAAAGTAATTTCTGCAAAATTTGCTTCAAAAATTGTTTCAAGCTTTTGCATTATTTGCTTTGATAAAATCAGTTTTTCAATCTTTTTAAAGATAGAGGATACTAGATCATTTTTATATAGTTTTATATAGTATTTTGAAACTTTTATATAAAATTGAAATATACTATTTATAAAACTTTTTTAAATTATACCAAATTTTTATTCAAAGTTAACAAAATATAAATAAAATAATTTATCTATTATGGTAAAATTTTAAAGTATTATTATATTTAAAAAATATATACTTATATATGTTACAATATTTTTCTAGAATAGTTCAAAATTTTTTAGGTAACATAAGATTACTAAATTTAATTGGTTAATTTATGTAATCCTTTAAGTTAATTTAATTAATAAATTTCTATACCTAATCTTTAAAAAGTCATATCTTACTAAGTTTTTAATCAAATTTAATAATTTTATTATTATTAAAATTAGAAGAACATATTTTACAAACTTTTTTTATAAATTAATATTAGTTTATTTAGTATAATTTTTTATTAAATTAAATATAAAAAAAATTACTATTAAGTTTATATATAATTTTAATATAGTATTTTCTATTTTTAAACAAGTTTTCTTTAATAGATTTCTTGATCATATATAATGTTAAGTTAAATATATAAATTATATATATAGAAATTAGATAATATGTTGTTTTTAAGATAATTAACTTATTTAATAATATAATTAAAGAATTTGAGTTGGTTAATAAAAAATTAAATGCATAATACTTAATAGATTTCAAATTGAAATAAAAAATAATAAGAATTATATATTTATATTATAAAAAAAATAACAAAAATAATTACATAATATGAATCTATATTCAAACTTAAAATATTAATATAGTTTGTTCTCTGAAACTATATAGTCTTATCAGTTTTTCTAAGAAAAATTATAAAAAACAAGTTAAAAGATATTTTTTAATATTTAATTATTTATAGAAACCTATTTTAATTTGTTTTTCACCTAAGTTTTGTTTAGTATTAATTGGTTATATATTATTTTCTAAGTTATTAGTAGTTTTTACAAGCTTATTTATAGTTTTTATATTTCTATATTTTGGTATTTTTCTTTAAAAGTTTCTTTAGAATCATTATATTACTGTTTTTCAAGAGTTGTACAATGGTTGTTTATAGTATTAATGTTTTGATTTGTATTTAAATTATAATTTTTTTTAAATATTAATTTATAAATCTTTTTTTAGGTTTTTTATTAAAATAGTTCATTCTTTGACATAAAGAAAAAATACTAATTAATAATAATATTTTTTAATTAAGATATAAAGCAGAAGTGTTAAGTGATTATTTCTATAGACTAACAGTTCTAACTTGCTAGAATTTAGAATACAGAGATATGAAGCATGCTTATAAGTATACTATATAGCCAAAAGGCATGTCTATACTTAAGAAAATATCATATAATTAGTAAATTTTTGTAAATTTATTTATAATTATATATAATAATTAACTAATTAAATTATATAATTTTTAAATATTATTAGAAA